AGGGTGATAGTTCCTGTTTATATCACGTGGGGAAACAGGGTGTTTTGTGTCAGTTTCAATTGCAAAAACAATGAAGTTATGAGAAAAACAACTAAAAAAAGTTCAGACTAATGAAAGGTAGACCCTGTTATGTCCGTCAAACAGTGTTAACTCAGTAAACTAAGCCTGATTTTCATGCGTTTTGCTGTTGTCAGCCTTCTGCTCATCTGTGTTTAAACAAAAGGCTGTTCAAATGTTTTAAATTTCCCTCGATGATCATTATTAAGGGCTTTAAATGCCAATAAAGAAAAATCATTAGCTTTAGCACCGTGCGAGTTGGGGGTGTAGCTTAGTTCTCTTTAGCCAAAAACAAAACACATAACTATACAAATAACATGACGTTTCACATACAGGACACATTAGTCTGAACGAGTCAATGCCCATTACATCAGGGCTTTTTTATGTTCAAAAAATATATATAAATATATATGTATATATTGCTACTCATTACTAATTCTCAGAGCAGAGTGATGTCATCATTTAAATACATTTTTCTTTCCTCTGTACCATAGTCAGAACGTGTCTTTTTTTCTTTCTTTTTTTTTTGCATCAGTGCTTGGTTGCATATTTACCACATATTTGTTGTTTACATAGTTGAGAGAAATACAACTTTGTCCTGGCATTTTCCTCCTTTCTGTCCTTTTCCTCCCCCTCATGTTTATTTTGTCAGCATGGAAATACTGCATGACAATTAATGAGCTTTCAGAGTTTTTCACTTTAAAGGTCATCCTGGTCGAGATGGATGTTGTTCACAAAATGATCATCATGAAAAATAACCTTCACATTTCTCCTGCACCTGTTAACACACACACACAATGGAAAAATTAAAAAATATTAGAAGAAAAGGTTAAAGAGTGTTCTTTGCATTCTTCCAGTTCAGCACCGTGGTGTGAATATTCGCTTATATTCAGGGCCAAGGCTGCAGCTTTCTTCCCCTCCCAAAATAATAATAATAAAAAGCTTTATAGCCTTCGAAGAGGAAATGGGGAGCGTGAAAGAAACTGGGACACAGATTTTGGCAGGAAAATGGAGCGAGTAAATGTGAAGACATAAAAGAGAAATAAAGGAGGGACGGGGAAAGGTAAAGGCTCTGGAGCAGAGAGAGGCAGAAATGAGAAAGTAGAAAAAAATACACCCCAGGAGAAAGATGAGGCAGAAATGAGAAAGTAGAAAAAAAAAATACACCCCAGGAGAAAGAAGAGGAAGAGGAAGAATTAAATACGATGCAGCTGTTGGAGGGAAGCCCACCACTCACTCTGCTGCTGCTGATCTGTTCAGCAGCCCGGACCTCTGCTAAACTGAGTGGAGACATTTAGATGGTAATAGCTCCGGGTGTGGAATGACGTGGAGCGTGCACAAGCAGAAAAACCACTGCCCAAACCTACAGCTATTTTTTTAGTTTTCACAAACAAATAGGCCAGTACTTAGATAATAATATTATATTTCCGTCTGCACCATAATCAAATGAGCTGCAGACACAACCAGGAGGAGAGTTAATCCACAGTTTTCTCCTCTATTCCTGATTTTTTTTCTTATCTCCTCCATTTTCAGCCATTTTGATTCAGGTCACTGTTTGATTAGCGCCCAGCCACAGATAAAGGAGCAGAAAGACATTTTTTAATCAAGGCTTCCCTCTGGTATGAATGCAAATGCCATTTCCAGAAAAAAAATAAGTCAATTATAATTAAACTGAAACCTGTAATTTGATCGTGCCAATGCATGTTAATGTAGCAGGAAAACTGCCAGAAATCTGTTAGTGTTTGTCATTGACTAACTTCAATCTTTTTTCAGTGTGAATGTTATTATTTGTGGATATTCTCATTGAATGATATAAGTACATGTGAACACACATACTGTATATATACACACACACGTGTACACTGAACACACATACTGTATATATACACACGTGTACAATCTACTAACACATATATAAATGTATGTGTTTGCATGTGTATAAAAACATATATCAACACATACAAATGGACATATACAGGTCTTCACCATATGCTCCAGTAACATTTCTAATATCATAAATACATACAGTACATATACAGTACACATTTTGTCTCATCTGGTTTCAATAGGTTTTCTAAGAATTTTTTTTTGTTTTTTTTAACAACATGCCATGTCTCTGAGTATATACTAGATTGGACACGCAGACAGGTGAGGAAGGGGGAAAAGTAGAGGTGTCTAATGGCCGCAGGTCGATACGTGTCCACCACAGTGTCAAAAAACACCTCTGATCTGAGCCCGCTGCAGCAGACTCATCGCCCAGTGCTCATTTGGGCAACCGTGTGACCTACACCTCTGTACCCTTCATGAATTTTAACAGCCCCCTTTGCGAAATATTGACAGGGCGAGTCAATACAGAATGAAAAATTTATGGACAGTGACTGGGTAGAAGAGTTAAAATGCAGTGCCCTCGTATCAGGTGCAGAATGACAGGATTCAATTAAAGTCAACATGTTTCTCCAGTTGGGAGGTGATCACTGAAGGTCAGACGCCGTTCAGATTGCTTCGATCCTGAAGTAACTCAGCACCGCTGGTTAATGATTCTCCTACTGTGGGTATTGATATTCAGCAGTGGTTCATCAAGAGAGACACTCCTCAGTTCGTGGGCCAAGGATCATATTTTGTGCTGCAACTCAGCCTGACATAAAAGAGTATTTTCCCACAGGAGCAAGGACAAAAACCATCAAAAATAAACTTTTATTTTGTAAGAAAGAAAAAAATACCACCTCACTGAGAACAGTCTATTTAAACCCAGTCTTTCATCAAGGAAAATGCACCAACGCAGAGGTTTTAATATGAGATTACCACGCTACAGCTTGGCAAGAAATATACAATATGTCAGCAAATATATGCAAGACTATGACTCCAAATCTGGCTTAATACAGTTGGTGGATTTTAGTCACTATGATCCATCTTGAACGGACAAGCTGCCAGTAGGGGGCGCAGACATTTTAACTAACAAATAAATGCAGGTTATATACGTATGTGTGTGTGTGTGTTATATGTGGATGTTTTGTATTTTGTGTATGTTTGATTGAACATGCTGTCTTTCCAATAAAGTTTTTTTTGTTTGTTTTTTTCTAAAGGTGTGGAGAATCAGGGGTGTGGATATAGACGGGGGTTCGGGGCCCAAACAGTTTGGGAACCTCTGTATGGTAGATGGACCGTGGACTTACTGGAGTGTGTGTGTGTCAATCTGCCTGTGGGTTCAAATCTGTTCAAAATTGGAATCTAATTAAACTTGACAGATTAATTACTGCCACACACTGAATTGTTATTTGGAATAAACTGTATTTAAACCCACACCCCACACCCAGATGTGTGTATCCATCAGACTGTCCACTGCTGTGTTCAGGTTCAGTAAACACAGAATGCTAATTAAAAAACTCTTCTCCTCCCACACCTACATCACTCCCAGTGCTTCTCCTCGTTGTTGTTGTTGCATAAGCTCCTAACTGCTGTACCCTGGGTGGTAGAAAGTGTCAGGCTGACCTCAATCCTCCCTCCGTGGGTCACCGTATTCCCTGGCACAGAGGATCTGGCTGTCACACGCAACAGCAAACTGGAATATTCTTAGCCCTGCAGCTAGCTGGTTGTCGTGGCCCGGGGCGATTAGCCAAAGCTATTCATACCTGAGCGGCCACTCTCTCCTCAGACACTCCCTGCTTAAGGATGTGACTGGGCCAAAGCTCTGGAATCTTCTTCAGCCAATCATGTGATTAACATGTATCTGAAGGGCTTAGGCATCTCTGGTCACACTCACATTCACATACAGTGTTTACTCTGACTACAGTAACATCACATTCCGGCACATTCTCCTCTCAGTCCTTCCACAATGACTGACGTGTTTTCTCAGTTTTTTCTGCCACCCACAGATCTGGCATTTAAATACCGAGATAGTTAAACCTTCATGGTTCCCTCGCTCCTGATGAATTACTGAGACATGAGGGAGTGTATAGATGTGAAAATAACTTCTTTACCATCGGGGATAATTAGAGAAAGTTTAAACCGCAGCATCATAAAGGCTGTAGGAAAATTTGAATAAAACTTTAATGTAAATATAAAGATAAGAAGAAGAAGAAGAAAAAATAAGAAAGATAGTGAAAAACTAGGCAATGAGGAAGCCTGCAGTACCATGGCAGTACCATGGTTCACCAGCAGGGTGACTTTGTAATGTTGAGGCTATATGCTACTTTTTGAAATCTTTTAAAAAAAGAAGAATCACCAGCCTGATGGTACTTGATACCATCGTGTATATTTAACAAATCAACAGCATGAGCTCTAATTTCTGTTTTTTTTCTTCTTTGTTCTGCTGGTATCCACTGCCTGTGTCACAGCCTCAGTCCTGTTCAGGTTCCCATTCTTTTCACAGAGCAACTTGTCAGCAGTCAACGGCAAAAATCACAGACAAGCGTTTCTCCGTGTCACAGCAGGTTTACACAACCATACATCCAGAGATAAGACTGACTTCTCCTCAGTCAGAACACACGCTCCATGACTCCCTGTGGCAATACCCCAGGAACAGAGCGCAGCACACGCAACACACAAGTTTCAACACAGCGCTGACCCACAATGAAGGCCATGACTCATCTTTTAATTGATACTGTGATATTTGCATAGATACAGTGGCACGACGGCCGCGTACATGGGAGACAGGGGGAACAAGAGTGGACAAAACCTTATTACAATATTCCTCATGGTGGAAAAGGCTCAGAAAACCTGGCTTCAGTAAGTAGTAGTAATTAACTGTTAAAGCAGCTGTATATTAGAAATAATGTTTCTTAATTATATTTCTTAATTTACTTAACAAGAATTATTTAGATAAGTGCTGCACACTGCACACACAATAAATATAATTCCCCCAAATTAAAAAAACAAACTCATTGAATGTATTTTTCTACTTCATTTTCTACTTCTTCACAGTATTCATTAAATATTGGACTTACATTGTTGCTCTGATGCTGTGGAGTTGAGTTTGGCTGGAGTTCTGACCTCATGGCTCAAATTGTTTGGTAAACAGGAAGTGCCCAAACAGGAAGTGACACAATGCTATTGAACATAATGGCACAGCTTAACTCTTTCTTTACCACTTTATAAAACAGAATAATAACGTTCATGTTCACTTGCCATTTTTTTTCCTTGTGAACAGAGTCAACTCTGGATCATTTGAAACAAAATGGCTCCTGGTTTTATTGTGACAGCGGTGAACTGATGATACAGAATATCCCCGTCTTGCTGTATTCCAGAAAGGTTGAAGTAGGAATGAAAGGAAGCTCAAATGTCATGGCAGATATGGACGAGACAAACACTCCAGTGTCACATGCAGCTGTGCAGCCTGGGATCAATAATAAAGCGATGAGGATTGGACTTCATCAGAGCTGACCTGAGATCAGCAGGATTTCATTATCTGTAAAACAAAATAATAAACGCAAAAAAAATGAAACCTGTATCAGTCCATGACATTTCTAAGGTAATAATATCTAATATCTGACGGTTTTAACCAATGATTTACTTTCACATTTGAAACCCAATCAGGATATTTTCCGCCTCGCGCCATATTTATCACCATTCATAATTGATTTCCAATCGGCCGTCAATCTGTTCCTGTATGGCGTGGAACGGGGAATGTTGGCGCATCTGGAAATTCTATCCTGACCAGAGCTGAGCTAAGATGCACGGCTTCTTCACCTCAGCCTGTCATGAAGGAGACTGATGCTCCGACGAGGCAGCCCAGAGGTCAGGCAGCCATGTTCATCTACTGCAGCCAAACCCTGGCAGATAAATTAGTGATTTAATCCCCCTCTGCCCTGCTGTGTGTCGTTATGTTGTGTGACTGCATGTGTGTACTTGTGTGTGTGTACTGCGAGACGAAAAGCCATGATTCTTCCTGAGGTATTTCATGTGTCAGAGGGAGTATGAGGCAGACAGAGACGAAGAAGGAAAGCAGAGATTAATTTAGTTTGACGTGTATGAAATAGAGGTTCACGTCCCCGAAGGGACACTTTATAAATTGGAGCTTCAGTGCGATTGTATCTCAACAATACAACTCCAAAGATGGGCCCGGACTTTTGTTAAAGACAAAAATAACTAAGAAGACTTTATTTGTTTGAGGCAGAGAAATGATAACAGAGAAAAGACATTTTTGTTTTTCCATTAAGTTGACACACTCCAGCTAATCATAATAACGAGGGGAAAAGAAGACGAGAAAATGGAAAAGAGAGAGAAAGAAAATGTAACTCTCTCATAACAGACTTCAGGCTGTAGAGGGCAGGAAAATGCACAAGAGTAGCAGCCACATAATATATACACACATATATTTATATATGTGTGTATACTGTATATGCAGTATATTTGTATAGATATATGCAGTATATACTGTATATGCAGTATATATGTATAGATATATGCAGTGTATTTATATAACGAAGCAGAAGTCCATTTAAAATATAATGTGTAATATACAGTGAATCCTCAGTCCAAGTCTCCTGTCACTCACGTGTGATTTAAACTGCTTCATCTGAAATTCCTTTCACCCACACTTCACACTGATCCTGCTGCACAGGTTGTCATAGGAACACAATACTGACAGTTTTCTCAAATCACTCAAAGCAAAGAGGCACGAAAGACTCACTCATTCACTCACTGACTGACTGACTCATATATATATATATATATATATAGTGTATATATAACTGCTACCGTCATGTGTTTCCATGCACTCAGGTCACTGTTGTCTTCTTAGGCACAAACTCTTCGTCTGAATCTTTTTTTCTTTTAATTATTTATTCTTGCTGACTAGCAACAGCGGCAGAGTGAATCCTCTGCCAATGACCCTGAGGTAAAGACAAACAATAATATACAGGAGGGCTGCCATGAATAAGTGAGGACGCAGACAGGGGAAGATAATTGTGTCTTATTGTGTTCTGCTGTAGAAGAGCTGCAGAGAAGCTGCAGGCTGTGGACTAAAACCAAATCTTTTATTTACCACAAAATAAAGGATAATCAATATTTAATGAACAACATAATCAAGTGACTTGAGCCAAAAATGGATGTACGTGCGTTTTTCTTACATTGAGTCTGGGTAATATGCAGACAGATGACACATTTCTATTGATTGAAAACAAGGAACTAGATTAGTATTTTATGCAGAATTATATAATGTAATTTTAATAATAATACTAATTCTTATTATTGTTATTAATATAACAGTGCGGTTATTATTGTTATCATTATCACATTTATTCCAAATAAAATAATCAAGCATGATCCCATAATTGGGCTCTGGACACCACAGGAACAGAGAAAAGTAAGAATTCTTTTACTACTAAAAATGCAGTGTATGATCCTCGTCAGCTTTGATCACGCCTTCGTTTGCATTCCAGCGTTCAAGAATTAAAATGGCAGCCACAAAGGCTACTGACGTGACACAAGGATCCATGATTGCAGTCACGTTCAAGGGCAGGCGGCAAACAAGTCGTTCCTTCTCCTAAAAGAAAGCATTTGCATTTTGATGAGGCCTTCCGTGACTGTAGGTCATTAAATTGATCTTGTGGAAGAATATCTATTATGTTTCATTGCTCGTACAGCCTGCAAAAAGAGATGGGCCGTGTTACGCCTGTGAGGATTGTTAGAGGAGCAGCGGTTGTGGAGTATTCTGTAAACACTGAGCGCTTTTTTAATCTGCTTTTATTGACCTGTAAATCTGAACGGCGTCTGTCGCCACTGACAACAGACCTGGTTTGGTTTGTAACTGGCCTGTTGATTTCTCATTTATATTGGATCTCCTGTCTCCTGTCTTAGGGACAAACAGTTCTGACTGACCAATCACAGACGAGCGCTTTGAGACTCTTGGGAAAAATCTTGGGAAGATTGAGTCTGTAATCCTTATTAATCTGGTATGGATGACGTCTGAATGGAAGGAAATGAAAGTATGAAGACAAGCTGACACGGAACACGGTATCTTGATGTCACATGACACTGAGGATTTTTTCTGATTTCCGACTAAAGCACTGGAAGTGAGTTGGAGGGGAACATGTTTTGCTGTTGTTGCAGATGTTAAAGGAGAAAAAGAACGGGTTTATGAAGCAGGCAAAAGTGAGCCTGACGAGGCAGCAGCGAGCAGACGCATTGTGACCGATGCATAGTAAATCAGCTGCAGGTCGGCAGCTTCATTATCCTGGCCCAGCAACCTTCACTGAGGATAATTGTTTTGGACTTAAGGTGAAGTGAAATCATAAATCACAGTCATTATTTTCACCTCACAGAAAAATGTCCCGGTTAAGTTTCCTGCTAGTTTTGAAACACAATATTATAAAAACCTAAACCAGTGATTCATCTGCACCGGGGCAATTAACTTTGAAAGAGACTCAAAGCACACATTCAACCGCCAGAGCTTCGGGAAAACCATATGCACCAGCCTGCGCACATTAACTTCACACAAACGGTGACAGGTGATCACACTGAGGGATGGAGGACGTGGGGGCGGACGGTGTCGACGGATGATACAGTCCATAAGTCAGGGGAGATACGGGGAGACGGGGGTAAATAAGGGAGCAAATTAGGCAGTTAGTCGTCTGTGAGAGAACAGCTGCCCTTCAGAGGGGATGTGACTGTAAAAGCACCGCGACAACAAGGCTCCAAATGACAGAGACGAGGACGTGGAACTGTTTCCTGAGTGTGTGTGAGTGTGAGTCAGTGTTGATTTTGAGTTCATTTTGATTTAGTCTTTGACTCAATTGTATCTGTGTGTGTATTTTACATATAAACAACAATACATTCTTTATATTATATTTATATATATTTATACAACAATTAAGGGGTGAGGTCACGACCCCCTCCTCCACAGCCTTGATCAAAAATGGAACTAATTTTTACTGTACATTGTACACTGGCTGATGCTGAATCTTGATTGGTGCAAATGATTATTTGTCTACAGTTGACAACTAGGATATCCACCAATGGAACACAATGGCTGTAATGATGTAGTGACTATGATATACAACAATAAACGTTTGTGGTCTGTGTGTGTGTGTGTTGGCCTTATAACTCCTTAAAACCTTGTCTCTCTCAGTTCCCAGTTCACTCCACTCTGGTCTTTTACACGTGTTCATGTTCATATATGTGAACAGAAGTGGTGAAGCCGCACAAACAAACGGAGAAGACTGAAGTGAATCTCTCCTCACAAACCAATCAACTTCCAGCAGCATGAATTATAAAAAGACGAGAAGACGAGAAAACTGACTGAAGCTGAGAGTCACCAGCTGCTGCATCCAACTGCTGCATCCAACTGCTGCATCCAACACACACGATGGAGCTGGAGAGAAGGTCCGGGGGGGTGGGGGGGGGGGGGGGGGGGGATAAAAGCATTAGGTCGATGTCATCACAGAGTAACCAGACTCTTGGCCAGTGGGGATAAATAAAGCAGCGAGGAGCGTGGGTAATATTACCCACATGTCCCTGCTGCCTGTCAGACTCTGCTGGTCAGTGATGTCACTCGGCCTGCAGGCAGGGTCACCCTTCACACTGGCCCTGACTGACGACCACACTGTATGTATAGAACTGCACACACTCACACACACACTCACACACACACTCACTGCAGCTGCTACTCTATTTTAAACAACAAATAGATACTCACAACCACACACACACACACACACACGCACACAACTTCACCTCCATATCCACCTGCTCAATGATTTGTGATTCTCCAGAAATGCAGAGGATTCCAACTGCAACCTTTAACTCATCAAAACACACACACGCACAGACACACGCACAGACACACGTCATTTTGTTTTTACGTGAATACAGAAAAGCGACATCACGGCTGAGAAGAGACGACAGGTTTTCCTTCCATTTCTCTCACGGTTACGTTTCTTCAGGAGCTCTCCACTAAATATAGGAGGGAGGAGAGTGAGGAGGGGGAGGAGGGTGAGGAGGAGGAGGAGGGTGAGGAGGAGGAGGAGGGTGAGGAGGGTGAGGGGGGTGAGGAGGGTGAGGAGGATGAGGAGGATGAGGAGGGGGAGGAGGGGGAGGAGGGTGAGGAGGAGGAGGAGGGTGAGGAGGGGTGGGAGAAAAGGATGAAGAGCCGACTGGCTTCCACCCATATATAACCACTGCCTCACTGCCAGCCGTCACATGGTGTCACACTAAACGCTGCCCCTGGGTTCACCCCCGCCCCAGCTCTTCACTGGTTGGTTATAAATAGACACAAACACAAACACAAACATGGCCGTCCGTTACTTTATGTTGTGCTTATTTTTTCTTCTCTTTTTTTTAATAGAAGAGATCTGTCTGTGCTGTATTAACCTGCGGGCCGGTGGTTTGTTCATAACGTCCTCTCCTCCGACACCGCCCCACTGCTTTGCTGTGCTGGCTCTGAAAATGCTCCGGCCGTCACGGTGAAATACGGCGCTCCTCCACAGGAGGCCAAGGGCACCGGCACTGAGAGAGGCGTTTAAATCACATTCAATAACACACACATGAATGCAGTCACAGGCGACACCAGACCACAGGGCTCAGAGTTCTGGACTGGAAAGAAAAAAATATATTATTATTATCATTGATGTCACAGCTGTATTAACAGCAGCTGTGACATCACATATGTAAATCAGTAATAATCAATCTTTTTACACCGATGATCACCTTGACAACAACTCAGTGACTGAGCTTATCCCTAATGAGAATAAAATTCAATGCTTAGCACTAGAGGGAGCCCAAGTACCATTACTGGTATGCATACCTTAGATTGAGAACCACTGGTCTTTACCAACGTATTGCAAGAAATATTGCATTTAAATTGTTGGATGCTATATTTGGTTTAGCAGGAAGTAGTACAGCAGTACTTTTTAACATACTTTTCCTCTCCCAACTTATTTGGAAGTTGTTGTCCCAAGTTGTTTGTTGTAGGTGTCATTTTTTTACCTGTTCTTGAAAGGACAAAAATCTATCTCTTCTCTTTCCTTGTTATTTTAAGATTCTTCTAAATCACTGTAGAATTACCAACAGATTTAAAAATTTAATACAGTACAAATATAAATAAGCAAAAATAAAAAGAATAATCAGAGCTTAGCCGTGCAAATCACCGTAACAATGATCAGTTCAGCTGGAGGATTGAGGACGAGGCTTCTTCAGACGTTTCTGGGTGTAAACAACATGCCGTCTGAAAAATCCTCGTGGGCGACAATGTTGCAAAAATGTAAGCGCTTTCATATATTTCGTTTCCCCGTCATGACTGGACACGTCCCGTCGCTGCTTCTAAATCAACAATGGTTGGCAAGTGAACGTCTCTGCCGCTCCAAAGCATCTGGAAAACAGAGCAGACTCACAAACCAGTGGTCACATGATTGGCATTGGAATCCCGCTCTCACACATCCATCCTCGTGGGCCCGCAAATGCTGAATTTGCAGATTGAATGGTTTTCAATGGTTTAGTCTCAACACCTCAAACATGGACCGCTGACTCTCAAAGACTTTCACCAGTGAAGGTGATCTGCTGAAAATCTAAGAAATAATCCCATATTTAAACCAACAAATGAGTGACAGTGTTGGACAGACTCGTCAGAGGAGTGCTGGTGTACATGGTTTTTTTTTAATTATCATTGATAGTTTAGACTAGGATTACATTAAAGTGTCTTTAATCAATCATCAGACTCTATTCAGGTGAAGCGAACCACCTCCACACGCCTGCAGAGGGTTCATCTGAAGCCAATCCCAGTGATGATTATAGAGAAATACTTTTTTTTTTAAGGTTAGTTTTTTTAATGTTGAGCAGAGTTAGACAGTACAGCTGGCTGTGTTACATCAGCCATTAATCCCACTCATAAACCAGCTGACTGTATTTAATCTAAATTCTAAAACCTCCAGGCTGAATGAAAACAAACCCCCAACAGAACACAGAACACAACAGAACATTCCTTCTAGAAGGAAACTGATAGTACTTGTTGACTTAGTTTAACCTCTGACCTCCGAGGCGGAATTTTTAATATTTCACATACATGACGCTCAAACTACTGTAATGCACAACAGACACCGTGTTCCCAGATTCAGAGGCTCCCTGTCTGGGCTACATGCACTGTGACGTCACAATCTCTTTACATGCGAGTGCAGGCCTGGCTGTAGAGAAGGAGGAGGAGGAGGAGGAGGAGGAGATAACAGGGAACAGAGGCAGGCTTTCGATTGTGATGTAATTTTATGGTAAGTGATGCATTGGGTGATGACGCCGGCGTTTACATTGAATAGCACGGCCCCCTACTGGTGAGATACGATATAACATTGAAATGCATGGTTTGTAGCGCTCTACGACCTTAACTGTAGAGACTGTGAAACCGAGGATGGCTTTTAAATTAGGTGAAAATAAAGCATAAGATATATTTTGGGAAAATTACAGTTTTGCAAAAGGTATACGTATTAAGGACATATGAAAAAAAACTTGTCAACTTTTCTCTTTAACTGAGCTCGTAGCCCTAGTAGCTACTTAACAATAACAAACACTAAAAGTTGATTTAATTTAATTTCCAAACAGCTTAGCGTTGCCAGAAGAAAAGTAAACATCAACCAATTAGATTAGCATTTATGTTCTAGCATATGACGCTGACATTAGCCAACAATCAACAAAACGCTGTATTTAAAATTAACGCAAAACTGGCTTTTTGTGCTAATTTTAAATACATTTTGTTGATGAAAACAAAATGTAAAAAAATCCCCTGTACATAGGCTTTAGTTTTCCAATGGTTTTGACAAAGACAACATAGCCTCGACATTATTAAACCAGTACAAAAAACTATTTTCTTATCCTCATTCTTACCATTCTTTCAGTCAATATTTTTTTCAAAGACATCCACAAAAACACAATTAGCAATAGAATAGAATGTACAACTGCTGTAAATTCTGTCCAAACATATCGACGGACAAGGATATTGTTACCCATAAATCCCAGGTATAATATTAAAACATATATATTATTTTGCACTTGCACTTCACTAAAGAATGAGCAAAGCGCACCATCTAGTGATTACATTTGTAAAAGCAAGTATATTCATTTCTGAAATGGAGTCAACATCAGTTCACAGAGAATGCATTGAACATAATAACATGAAAAAGTGTCCATTTTGTGGGCACGGTTTTTCTATGGACACAAAGAGACACATGACAACAGCGACTTCTCCACTGATCTGATTTAATGGTCCGTTTGTTAAAAATAAGGCTATGGCGCCGAAAGGAGACCACTGTTGTGGCAAGTGTGGGTCATTACAGATGGACGTGTTTGCAAAGTCAAACACACGCTCACAAATGTATGCATGTATATACACACAAACGCACACACACGTATACACATAGATATGGAGCCCACCCAAAATGGAGGCAACAACCTAGAACAGAGCACTGTTCCTTTAAAAAAAAACATGACAAACACACATGTTTATCTTAGTAAATGAAAGTGTGAAAACCATGGAGTTAGTCATTGCACAGTTTGTTGTCATTGCATGTTAAAAATGTGCCACAGAATTACAACGTTGTCTTTTATTCAGCCATTATTACAATCATGTAAACTCTGTTTTGTTCGTCCGTTACATTTTGTTCATGTAAAAAGTTACATTCTGAAACAGGAAGTCTTGATGACGAGGAAATAAATACTGGCAGGGCGATAAACACAATGTAAAGTCAGTGGACAAGAGGCGGAGCCTACAGTAATTTAGGCTGAAATTTTCCAGGTATAAAAAGAAAATAAAATGTAATTTAATAAACTGGAATCCCCTTGTGTTTCAGTCAATAAAAAAGCAAACGAGACAAAACAACACACAGAAGCCCAAACCAAGGAGGAACAATAACGACAAAATAAAAATGCCTCAAAGGCATTAAAGTGTTTTGACATGAGGAGGAATGATGAGGCCACAAAGAGAATCTCTTTAGTGCAGTTTGCAAGAACATGAAAAGTTATGACACAAGAACGTTACTTATTATAAGTCAGATTCCTTTTGTTCAACTGACTTCAGAATAAAATATACACAAATGATCTTCAAGTTAATAAGACTTTAAAAGATGGAAGGAGAAGAAAAAGAGAGAAAAAAAACAGTCTGATTTCCTTTTTTGTTCAACCTTTGGTTAGTGTGACGTCTGCTTGCTTCAAATATTTGTTCCCTTTACAACGTTAGATACTTCCAGAATTCTATCAACTAACATTGAACATTTTAAAGTGCCAGTGAAGTGAAGCAAAGAGGACAAATGGACGGATTCTCCTCTCACACAAGCACACGTCAGGACAAAGACACGGGAGAAGCCATGCAGCTGGGCCCCGACCACGGTTAATTAAAAAAGGGTTTCATATTCACAGGTACAAACGCCGTCACACCACCGTGTGACATTTAAGAGCCTAGTGTAGGTGTGTAGGTGAGGTGTTAAAGCTGCTGTCAGTGATGTCATCGTCTGGATTAACTGGCTTTGTCAGCATAAGGCCTATTTTTTTCAACTCTGCCTCCTGATTGGATGATGTCTGGTGGGATTTGCTAAATAATCATGTCTTAGGTGTTTAGGTTCAGACTGAACTGAAATTGTTCCCTGTTAACCATACATATTCAATAGGCATTATGGGAACTAAGAAGTTATACAGTATGCAGTGTACTGTGTTTGTTTGAACTAATTTCATTGAGATGCTTTACATTTCAAGGATAGGCCAAACAGTTTCCAAATCCATCCATCCATCCATTTTCATCCGCTTATCCGTTACCGGGTCGCGGGGGCAGCAGTCGCCACCCAAATCACATTGCACCGTACCAAACCTTCCTGCGGGTGGTGAGTCCACTGGAAAGTTTCCAAATCATTTTTGTTTTCCAAAAGAATGTCCCCACAAGTAGCTTTACTGGGAACACACGCTGCTTCGGCTGGTGAACGCCCTCTGCTGGTAAAGTTAGTGACAACTAAACCCATCACGACTAATAGAGCACATAAAAATCTTTTTTAGAGATGATGCTGACAGCAGCTTTAGCTTAGCCTCTCAGGCAGCCTAGCTTTTCTAGCTTCGCTAAATTAAAAGCACATTTAGCTTTATGTTAATGTGTTTTTTTTAACCATGTGCCTGTCACACATGCTGCTTCTCTAAGATACCAACAGCACAGTGCTACGTCCTCAGCACAAATATTCTGCTTTTATCTTGACCTGATCACATTTTGACACTGAAGGCTAATGCTAAAGATAATAAAAACACATGAAACTAATCAGTGGTCCATTCACGCTGCAGATACACTTGCACATTAATTTGTCTTATGTGTAACGCTTGTAATAAAAATATTCTTCAATTCAAATTTTTCTCTTTCTGTAGCCATTTTTCCCTTCTTATCCTTCACTTTTAAACCTGTTTAAACAGTCACACTCATCACCACACCACCGCCCGTCAACTGACTTGAACTTTTTCCCTCTTTGCACCTGCTTTCCCTTCATGCAACCTGGTACAGAGAAACACGTCGGTATAAACCTCGTTGGTCTAAATTCATAAAGAATATTCTGTACAAAACATAGACTAAAAATAAGTTTTCTTCCTTTTTACAAAGTAGTCAACTACCTCGGGTCTAAAGAAGAACCAGTGATATCAAATTAAAAACTTAGAGACATGCAGGAAGTGGAAGGTGGTCCTGGCACTGACACAAGAAGAGGTGGATTTTAGTCTAATTTTTGTCTTGTTAATCAATCGTGTGAGGTCGTGACCTGCCAGACAATGAGGTGGCTCTGCTCGGCCTTGGTGGGCGTTGACTGCTGGCTGCCCGTGGACTCTTCCAATTCACCGCTTTCGTCGCCTGTGAATAAAGACAGTGGTGATAACGGCTGATGGATTCACAGACACCAAGTTTCTTTGGTGTTTTTCACCAGAAGGTGAACGATACATGCAGAACCAGTTCAGACTGGATGGGTTTAATATTGTAGCAGATGACGATCTCGTACCTAATCTGAAGTCGATGTAGCCTTCACCTCCACTCATCACCAGGTATGATTTGGGCTCCGAGGTCGCTGCTACCTCTGATGATTCGGACGCAGGATCATCGGAACCTGAATCTGCCGTACCTGGAGGTGGCATCGCTTCACCTGGGACAGAAAAACAATATTATCTCTTGTAGTATGAACAAGTTGAATAGATTACATGATTGAAAAAATACATGTAAAAATGCAATTTTTCCCCCCACTATCATACCAGCTGAAAAAATACATGTAAAAATGCAATTTTTTCCCCCCACTATCATCAAAGGTCAGCAGTTTTCTGTCCCATTAAATAATAAACATGTCTACCTGGCACCGTCACAAAGAACTTGACAGCATCCCGATGTCCGTGGAAGCACAGCTGGGCGTGTGCCATGGAGCAGTAGGGTACGAAGCTGCCTGGCAGGGCACAGTCGGCGCTGTCATCTCCATAAACCCGTACAGCAGTACCGGGTCGATTTGGCACGGCCCCTGTCGTCTTGTTTGCTGCAGAATTAGGTTGAAAACAATGATAAAAAAATGGTGGGCTTTTTTCTATGAAAATTATACAGAGTGAGTCATCTGGAGCATCAATAGTTGCCAAGGTGGAGATTGGCGGAGAGGACAAAAGTGTGGTATAAACTAATCCTGCAACCATGGCAACTGCTTCTTATTAATTCAACAAGTAGCACCTCAAGGTTAACAATGGCTTTTTTTTGTGCCTAAGGTTGAAAGAAATGCAGGAAGTGCACAGTGGGTTCATTCATGCCCAAGCTGAGAGTCTGTGGCTTCTTCAAGACTTTCAAGTGAGTATGAAGTGTAAAATAAATAAAAACTATATTGAACATTGTGACAAGAAAGGAGACGTACAGAGAGCTAAACTGGAATTTTTGTCAACAGCTATTGTTGTTTAGTGAGATTGTGATACCTTCAGACAGAGGGATGGAGATGATGACACCGTTTCCTGTTCCCACCCACAGGCGGCTGCAGGACACCACCAGAGCAGTGATTCTCACAAAGGAAAAGCCCAGTTTACCCGTACCTGCAATATAAACATGTATATAAATGTAAATGTATATATAACACATGTATTACATGTATCTCAAACTTTCAGATGCTATATTCTCTGTGTTTTAACTGATCTATCATCAGATGTCAGAGAACGTTAGATCCAGATGTGTGAGAAGAAAATGACCAGAGGCTACGAGGATTAACATTTCTTTATACCGAGCATCTTGCTGACGTAGGGCTCAATGTCCACGTCCTGGAGGTGCTGGTAGGTGTGAGCGTGGAACAGGCGTAGTGTTGAGTCCAATCGGATGGAAACCCAGATACCGTCTCCAACCCAGGCCAGCTGCCGCACCTGGCTCTCCTTACGGGGGTGAGCATCGAATGACTTCTGCTCAAAGACGGGTTGAAATTTGTCTTTTTAGTTAAAAGAAAAAATAAAAACCAGACTGTCCCTAAAGTATGTTCCTAGTACTGTATGTTGCCACAGTTATACCTCTATCCTCATGGCCTTGGGCTGGATGACGTAGATCTTGTTCCTGTAGCCGCACCACACCTTGTCGTGCACCACACTCATACAGCGGATGGAGTGGTGAGGCCGACCCAGGTCCAGCAGGTGGTAGTTGGTCAGATCCCACTGACCGTCTCCTGTGGAAACAGTGGAAATTATGAAAGGCAGGTAAAGGAATGGTACTTTTTTTTTTTAACTACATGTAATTCTACAAAAATGGAACTTTTCCATCTGTATAAAATAGTACGTAGCAGATTTACCGATGTTTCTGTGGAAAATAGCTAATGTCCCATCAGCCAATGCCACGAGGACTCTCCCTTTGACATGTCTGTAACAGGCGGGGAAGAGTGATTTTCAGATATGTATTCTGATGGTAAGTGTTGACTAGTCAACTTCATACTCACACAATGTTGAGGATGGATTCTTTGAGCTTGATGGCGTGGAGACACTTCCTCCATCGAGCCACAGACGAGTGAACATAAAGACTTGAACATGGATGAAAAAGGATTAGAATGAAATATGTAGCAGTCAAAGTATGTAGGAGTGGGTGATTATATCACGATTCACTCATGTGTTATTTTATGCTACTGGAGTTTAATTTAAGGCGTTGACATCCCCCTCTAGTGGCCATTTGGATGCTTACCATCCATTCTGCGCTCCCAGCCACATGGTGGGAAGTGCGCTGCTCATCCTCAGGACTTCGCCCTCTGATTGGTCGGAATCTTTTGACAACGAAGTGTCTCTGTCGTGCCCAGAGCCCCTGGATAAAAAAATAATAAAACTGTTCCACTCATACATTCTTCTTCCTGCTCAAAACAGGAAGCTTTCTAGAAGTTCTTACCTCTGTGGTGAGGAGTCGGTGGGACCCACTCCCAGTGGATCAGTAAACACGTGTTCCGTGTAGATTCCAGGCTGGTTTTGATCTGCTCCCTGCTCCTCCTCTCCGTCTTCCACACCAGCATTAGCCTCAGTTGCTTCTGTTGCCTCCTCTGCCGTCGGAACTCCGTCCTCTGTTGGACTTGTCTCTCTGGACAGCTCAACTGTGGACAGTTGAAAATGTTTGGATTGGTTTTTAGACACGTAGAGAAAAATACAACTAAGCAACTCTGTCTTCACTGAAGATGTCGTTTTCAAAGGTTGGTGAAGCACAACTTTCTCCTGACCTGAGCCAGAGATAGCAGAGTGTTCAGAGGCCTGGTCTGTGGGCCCTGAAGTGGCCGTCTGAGGGATGGCAGTGGTCCCTTCTGCTGCTGCTGTGCCATCGCTCCCTGTGGACCCCATACTGGCCACACTGCCAGCCAGGGATTCTCGATCCCCTTGGCTGGCGTCCGTATCCTGAGGTACCTCCTCACTGGCAGGATAATCAGACTCCAGTACTCCTAGAAACACACACACACACACAGAGAGAGACCAGCTATCACAGGCAGCACTAGCCCACTGACTGAGAGACACATCATGCTGGTAGGAAGCCCACCTGGTACACTGGCAATGCAGACGACGTGGGTGTTGCAGGCGTAGAAGCTGTCGAGCAGGTCTGAGGGCTGACTGGCATCCAGCACCAAAACCTTGGTGGAAGAGTGGGTGCTGGTGCAAACCCACACCCTGCTGGACACCTCATCATGAGCCACAAGCTCCTTCTCTGAGTCCACTTTCTCCTGATCCTAAAAGCAAATGAAAATAAAAACAAGGGAACAGGAAGAAGAGAAAGTTTTATTTCCCTTTTTAAAAAAAACAAAAAACATTTAAAAGTGATATAATAATAGGACAATCTGCCTGCTGTAAATACATACCTTATTGTCATGTTCCAGCTGGTCCAGACTACTCTGAGAACCCTTACATATTTTATTTAGAACTGAGCCCCTGCCTCCGGACATATTCACACCTGCCCCACACCACAGCTGGAAAAAAACAGAACTAAATCACAATCACCCAGTAGTATCGGCATTAACAAGTAGGTATTTAGAACTGATATTAGCACATACCTTCATAGAAGCATCTGTCTGATCCAGAGGTCTCAAATATACCGGCACGGGTAAGTTCATTTTGTGCTCCACCTGTCCTCCGTTTGGCACCTGTAGGTACAGGTTGGGAAATGTGACGAGGACAAAAAAATTATTTTATTTTATTCAAGTGTTTTTGAATAATTTGAAGGGGCATGTGATCCACAACAGACAAAACCTTCACCATCTTAATCTTCTTACTCAACTCACAGATGTTAAATCCTGTTGTTTTACTCATTTACAATATTTCAATTCTATTTAAATTCCCACCTTGTATTTGCTGGGAAGGCTCCAGCCGTGCGCGGTGACTCTTCCATCCTCCTTTTGCATGTGGGCTTTCACCTGTCTGTACTGGGCTCTCTTCTGCTCCTTCCTTGACGGAGAGCTGCACTGGTCTTTCCTGCAAATGTCAAAGTCAGCAAGAATCTGATCAGCTGTAGAACCTTTTGGGGAAAACGTTACAAAAATCTGAGATTCTTAGGCGTCAGACTTGTTTCGGTTCGATCCGGTACTCACTCTTCATTCAGGAAGTCAAAGGTCTTGGACTTTTCAGTGGGGAACTGGGAGAAGGTGCTACTCCTCTTGACCAAGCCGCCTGGCGCGTTGTATTTAACGTTGGACTGGGACTCCACCTTTTTCACTGCAGGAGTGCTGGGGCTAAACAGTCTGCTGAAGCTGCAGGTGGTGGAAAAAAAAAACACGGTTATAGTCTGTTAAAAGATATTATTGTCTTTATTATCATTATTATTGAAGTGAAAGTGGCACCAAAAAAAAAAAGAGAAGTCTTTAGAAACATTAGAAGCATCATTACTGATACTCACAACTGCCAGATGCTGGACTTCTTCTTTTCTGTGAGAGCTGGGCTTTCCCTGGAGGCCCTAAAAGAACATGAAGAGAACATGACGTTTCAAAGACACAAACACACACAGACAGGATGAGGTTGTGCAGGTGTTGGGTTGCCCACCTGATCATCTCCGTCCACCTCACAGCTTCCTGCAGCTCCATCAGTCTCTCCTTATACTGGTTCCTCTCCATCAGCACTCGGGCCATTTCCACCCTGGTGAAGCGTTTTCTCTGTGCCGTCGGCACGTCGCTCTGCGGAGGCCAAACAGTGAAGAGTTCACATGATTTATGAAAGAGAAGCTTCCTAATGGAAAGTTCAGCTGCAGTCAACTCACATCTTCTTCATCCTTTGTTTTATGTTTCACTTCCTCTATCTCTAGCCTCACTCTAAATGAGAAGAGGAGACATTATGGTTTGTGGCAGATATCAAACATTAGAATTACTGTAAAGACAACTGAAATCATTTTTGTTCTTTCTTTCACTCTGCGTTTGTTTCCGTCTCTAACACACCCACTTTTATATTTTGGGAAAATGGCAGGCCTGTGTTGTGTTGAGCAATTATCGACTATCACTTACTTTTTAAGTTCCTCCTCTAGTTCTCTGTTTTTGTCCTCCAGTTTGCTCCTGACCTGCAGCAGAGACTCCAGTTCTCCCTGCAACATGTCCTTGTCACAGGTCAACTCATCCAGCTTCAATATCAAGTCTTTATTCACCACATTCAGAGCATTTCTGAAGAGCAAGGGCACAAACACAAGTTGATGTATTAATGCAGATAATTAATAATTGATGGTGATGATATCGGTTAGGTATTATCATTATATTTTTCTCACTTTGTCTCGAGTAGTTGTGAATTCTCCTGAATTAGATTTTCAACTTCTCGTCCCATACCTGAACAAAAAAAAAAATCATGTTTCATTTTTATTACTTGAAAAAAAACAAAACAATAAGACACAACAACAGACAACTACATGAGGACTACACGTTCTACATGTTCTTAAAATCAAGCACTGTAAATAAAAATCTACTATTTAAATACAATGGTCGTCAATGTTAAAAGCATTAAAACCAATTAATCGGATTACATTTTTGAATGTATTTTAACACATGGGCACGATGACGCTCAGTTTCCATATTTATTATTCCATTATTTGGTTTAGTCATAAAACTGTTGTAAACTGTAGTTTTAATCTACCTGCTGTTTTTTGTCAATCTATTCCAGTAATACATCTGAATTAATGTGAATAATCCTAGTAATAATTCCAATTACAAAATGTAATAGTTTGACAGCCCTAAAACATAAAGTATCTCCTACTGACACATTTGCTGCTGTTGGTTACACACAGTACAAGACACAACAACAAACACACACAAACACACAAACGCACAAAATCACATAAAAGACAGGAGGCGGATGGAGAAAGTGGATGAGGTCTTACCAATCAAACTAAGGTCTGAGATAACCATGCAATCCAAGTCAGGCGGACAGAGTAAGGCAAACAGACAGAAGGGGAGAGAGAGAGAGAGAGAGAGAGAGAGAGATGCAGAAATCGTTTGAGACAGTGGAATGACCAAAATGACTGAAGAGTCAGAGCCAAGTGTGTAGCTGTTGACTCTGCAAGCAACAAAAGAGTAGATGCTGCTGTTTTCTAATATAGAAACGTAATCAAATCTGACAAACACGGGGAAGAAAAGACAATAGCAAAAAAAATGTTTTAAGCTGTCAAAATAAAAGCGTTACTGCAATATGAGGGCTTGTGTTTTCCCTGATCTTCATGCGCCAGACTTAACAACTGTCGTCAAAATTGTAAAAGTGGTCGGCTATAACGTGGGCTGAGTGTGGGCCAACAGCTGTCAAACAAAATCGGGAAGAAAAATCATTGAACTGCATCGATGGGATATAGAGCAAAAGGTGATAAATGAGTCAGGGTAAACGGGGAATTTTAGAGAACAATATATAAACTAAGGAAAGGGTTTATGTCATACACACCAGAGTACTCCACTGGGATTGTGGGAAAAAGCCAACGGATGAGACACAGGGAGAGAGAGAGGAGTTAACATGGGTGAATTGCTAACAGTGTAGCAGCTGGACCAAAGGAAGAGGTAAGAACAGCAGGTGTTTTGGGGGTAGGAGAGTTTAGAGAAGTAACTACAGCATTAGTCAGATGTCACACTTTTGTTATGAATAAAGAAAGACATTTTGGACAAACCAGTCGTGTGTTTGAATCACGTGAACACCTGAACGTTAAACCACTCTAACAGGATCACTGCAGCATCGTTGCCTAACAGTGCTCCAACTCACCCAGCAGGTCGGCTCCTTCATCCACGTCTCCTATGAGCCCAGTGCCTGCAGACGACAGCTCCTCAAACAGTGATTCTGTGTTCCGATCGAAGGCCAGGTTCTCGATGCCTTTGGTTGGCGTACTGGAGGAGTCACAACAACACAGAGACTATGCTCAGCTATCGTTCAGTGTTTTCTTCAGAGACGGTCAACCGGTCTCTGGCAGTACCTGCAGCATTTGTATCCACCCAGATCCATGTCCAGCTCTGGAGTGGACTCAATAATGTCCTGCACATCTGAGCTGTCCTGGTTTTCAGGCAGACCTTCAGAGGACATAAAAAGAAGACACAGAATGACGTACATTTTCGTTTCACCAAAAGCACCTCTTTGAATACCATCTCAATGAGCAGCAGGTGATTTTGGAGGCTTCAACTTCAGGTCAGATGGCCAGCTTGCGTAATAAAATATTGACTCGTTGGACAGCCCTAACTGTCACCGATAGTCTGATTGATCTTACCCACTGATACGGATCGCGTCCCTGGTGCAGCCTGCACCTCTGTGCTCTTACTGCTCCCGTTTTCCCTCCTAGTGTCTGAGGCGGTTGTGGACATCGGAGTGGCCGACTTGGAGCCAGGGAAGTCGGACATCTCGTCCTGTGAGCACAAGAAACGAGTGAATGGCACTGTTTACAGCCAGCAGCAGGAGTTCACGAGTGAAACAAACAAAAAGGGACACGGAACCACACAAAGAACACTTGGAATGAATCACATGACAGAAGCGTTTGACCATTACTACTTATCATTATCATATCTGAGATACTATCATTACTTCACAACTTCGTTGTATATACTGTATGAATAACTTACGGTCGTAGTAATTGTCACTTTTTACTTCTGTTGCTGCTTCAATTATTATTTTTTCATTTACCTTTTTTTCTGAATCTGATGTTAGAAAACTTCATACAAACAACTTAACAAAAATATCAGGAAACAAACAAGAAAGACTAAAGGATGTAGTGATTTAAACACAACAAGGACACACAACAGTCACATATAACTTAGCTCTAACACAATACACCACAACGCACAAATGACACAGCCTCACAAATAAAAAAAACCCAAAAGAAATAAATCCCACTATTTGAAGTCTAAAGTTACACAACTACAGCATGAAAGAGGATGCAGCAGAGATAATGTAATGTCTATGTTTTTTAGAAACAGCTAAATGCAACCAACATTGTTCTGTTAAAGTCTCTCTTTTTAACCACAGACAGACGTGGTTGAATTTGGCTCCGGCAGCACAGGTGATGAAATGGTGATGTGAGTTTTGGAACAGCACCGTGGAAAAGAAAAAGCAAAATGATGATGTCATGCAGCTACTGACACGGACACTTCCACTGGCCGACACTCATCCAACTACCTTGCAGTCGTCTGCCAGTGAAATCCCCCAGGTAGAGTCCTGTGCACTCTTACCCTCCCTCTCCCTTGGGGGCTCCACCAAGTCCAACTGCTTCAGGGGAACGGGGGGGAGAGTAAGAATGAAGATGACATGCAGAAGCAGATCAGGAGAAATGTAGTCACCATCAAACATGCATGTCAACACGTGAGTGTGTGTTCGTGTGTGTGTGTTTGTGCTTGTGTTACTCAGCTCCTTTCTGTGAGTTTTACCGTCTCATCTTTGTTATTGAAAAACCTTGGCTGAGACCACAGTCCAAAACGACACCTTTAAACCACTCGATTACACACAGGGCTGTCGGTGTGGATTATAACTACAGTTCAGAAACTGCCTGAAATGAACTGTGACTGATATTATCCAATTAAAATTGCATGTACCTAACTACAAGGGGAAATCAAACCCTTAATTTAATGTTTTCTTTTGAGCTGCATGTCCTCCCTTTTAGTCTAAACCAGCATTTTTCAACATTGGGGTCACAACCTCATGTGGGGTCACCTGTAAATCAAATAAAATTGCCTGAAATGTCTACTACTTGATAAAAAAAATGTACTACTAAAAATATTATATATTTTTTTAGAATTATGATTAAAACAGCACAGATAACCTTAAACAACTGTATTCCTTCACTTCCATGAATATAATAATCTGGGTTTATATTATAAATAAAATGCAGCATATAAATGAAATAAATTGACTGACTGAGAGAGCATCATGACGGGCATGCAGACACATGCACGTCAGTAACCCCTTGTCGGTCAGCAAATAAAAGCTGCTAACGCTCCAAAGTCTGTGCCTCAGCAATAAACATCTTGTAGCGTGGACCACATTAGAACCAATCTCCTTCCAGATGGCTGTTTTTCTCCCTTCCCCCTTTTATCTACTATGGACTGGCTGCAATCCTAACAATGGCTTCACTCCCATCATGCACTGTTGCCACACAGCACATGTCCCAGTTTACTCAAAACCGACCAGAAGTATGAAATATCACTGTCAGCCTCCAGGCCTATCTGGCACACATACAACCACATCTCACAGCACTTAATCTGGAGCTGGTAAATAACTGTTCTAAACAACAAATGTCAGTGGTTTACCAATGAAAACCACTGAAAATGCAAATCAATACTTTGACAAACGTTAGCATCAACAACTGCACCTGCATCAAAAAGAAAAATCTGCTCAAATTAATATTCATGAGGAACGTTTAATGATCTCCTTTGACTGCTGCTCTAGGGCACATTTGCATAGGCTTCAGTGGCTGAGGACGAGGAAGAGAACAAAGGACATGTTGTCAGGTCATACCCAGACCCTGGTGGACCACAGGAGAAACGTTTTTTTAAGCTCACATTATAAGCAGTGACACATTTCCTCTTTATTGCGACTTAAATGAAGGACAAATTATTTATGCTGAAACAGAAACACAACAGCAGAAGCTCTAAGTTCGGAAACACGTTTCATTCTCATTAAATGTGGGTCTACTGTTAGTCAGGGGAAATCAACATTTTTTGTACGTATTTGTAAAATGATCCTCTGGAAAATAACCTGTAACAGGTAAATGTGTCCATTTTCACCACGCTAATGTAAAGGGAAAGACAAAAACACCAACTCCTTCCTGAACCTTATCCTGTGCGATCTTCATCTCTGCTATTTAGGAACACTGATTTTTTTTTGTTATTTTTTAGTGGTCTACAGTGGAGAAAGGCAGTTGAAAAGGGTGTAGAAAACGTGTTGTTGCTGTTAGGTAGAAATTGGCTAACCTGCCGGTAATCCATCAAGCCAGTGCCAGTCACACCTACCTTGAGACTGGTGTTGGACCGGGGCTGGGTGGGGTCAGTGAACCTCCAGCCCTCTGTGCCCGGTGTCTCTGCTCTGGCCTGTGGGTCAGGGATTATTAGAGACGTTCCACCCGAAGAGGGGAAAATCCCCAGAGAAAGAGGCCGTTCTCTCCTAATATGGTGAGGAGAAGTCGAAACGTGTGACTACGTTCTCTGAAAACACAATATTGCTCTCTCTCAAACACAAACAAACGCCACGTGTTCCTACCTGATTCGACCGACAGCACTGGACTCTGACGTCTCACTGATCTGCTGCATTTTGATCCTCTCCACATGTTCCATGTAATTATGGATCATCTGCAGAAGAAGAAGAATAAAACTCAATGACCATTTTTGTTTTGTTCTTTGTTTGTTGTTTGTCCCGCCCACTCTTACCTCCGTGTGTCTCTGGTGAAGAGAATTAAATTCCTTCTTGAGCTCCAGCTCTCGTTCTTCTAACCTGCCAACTGTAACCGACATGACTCAGCTGAAGCTAAGAGAAATTATATGAAGGATTTTCACGGCTGAAACATTTCAGATTTCATGCATTTGAAATGTATGTCATGCTCAGTGGGATAATCCCTTCAATCCCCTGTGACTGTGTCAGGTTCAGCCCCTGTATATGTCAAATGAATCCTTTCACTCTTAGTATTTAAGAAGTACAGGAGAATATGATGAATATGAGGCTGGAAATGATGTGCTAAATATATGTCCAAAAACAATAACCTAATCCCAGTGATTACAAACCACTGCACCAGAGCAAATTATTTTTCACATATTTGTTATGAAAATTGTTTTGCAAATAATTTGTCTCAATTTGTTAATGCGGCAGAACAATTTCATACTTTTCCTCTAGGTGGCAGCAGATTTTGTTAAGAATAAAAAGACGTGTGTTTCTTTAATTCCTATGAATACATCAAGCTTGTATTCAACTAAACAGGCCCAGGTTTCACACTGTGTACATACATAAACTGTGAGTACACTGAAACTAGAAGATCATCAAAGTTCTTTGTAGATACTCTTTGTGACATTTTTGTTTCAGTAGCAGAAGGATGTCTCTATCCACCAGTTGAATGGATTCTGTTTATTCTTGGATAGCAAACTACCATTTAAAATCCCCGAGTGAATAAATCAGCGAGCTAATTACTACAAATAAAAGGCAAAATTTTAAACCCTCTGTTTAAAAGCTTCAGAAAATAAATGAACATTCTAAAATTGATGTTGGACAAAAGTGAAGGAAAAGCACGGGTTAGTTCAAATGAAGAAGGATTTGCAAAGTCTAAAAATAATAACTACACAAAAC